TATAGTAAAAAACTTAAAAAAATCTTCTTTTAAAGAACCAAAAGAGTTAGAGCTAAGATATTTAGCATGAAACATGTTCTATAAGTGTCTACCAAGTTTGTTCAAATAAAAGCCCTGGGGTCAAAATTGGCCCCGCCCCGGGGGTCATTGATTTTCCCTATATGCATATAGTAAAAACTTAAAAAATCTTCTTTTAAAGAACTCAAAGAGCTATGGCTAAGATATTCAGCATCAAACATGTTCTAATAGGTGTCTACCAAGTTTGTTCAAATAAAAGCCCTGGGGTCAAAATTGGCACCGCCCCGGGGGTCATTGATTTTCCTTATATGTGTATAGCAAAAACTTAAAAAATCTTCTTTGAAAAAACCCAAATAGCTAGAGTTAAGATATTAAGCATGAAACATCTTTTAGTGAGTGTCTACAAAGTTTGTTCAAATAAAAGCCCTGGGGTCAAAATTGGCCCTGCCCCAGGGGGTCATTGATTTTCCCTATATGCATATAGTAAAGACTTAAAAAATCTTCTTTTAAAGAACCAAAAGAGTTAGAGCTAAGATATTTAGCATGAAACATGTTCTAATAAGTGTCTACCAAGTTTGTTCAAATAAAAGCCCTGGGGTCAAAATTGGCCCCGCCCCGGGGGTCATTGATTTTCCCTATATGCATATAGTAAAAACTTAAAAAATCTTCTTTTAAAGAACTCAAAGAGCTATGGCTAAGATATTTAGCATCAAACATGTTCTAATAGGTGTCTACCAAGTTTGTTCAAATAAAAAGCCCTTGGGTCAAAATTGCACCGCCCCGGGGGTCATTGATTTTCCTTATATGTGTATAGCAAAAACTTAAAATCTTCTTTGAAAAAACCCAAATAGCTAGAGTTTAGATATTAAGCATGAAACATCTTCTAGTAAGTGTCTACAAAGTTTGTTCAAATAAAAGCCCTTGGGTCAAAATTGGCCCGGCCCCAGGGGTGTCATTGTTTTTAACTATATGTGTATAGTAAAAACTTTAAAAAAATCTTCTTTTAAAAAGCCCAATGAGCTAGAGCTTAGATGTTTAGCATGAAACATCTTCTTATGGGTGTCTACCAAGTTTGTGCAAATAAAAGCCCTTGGGTTAAATTGGCCCTGCAACGTTGGTGGGGGGTTGGGGGGCCTATATACAGGTGAGCGACCTCAGGGCCATCATGGCCCTCTTGTTTCTTTTTTGGTATTTTTCAACTCACCTCTTTATAAATAATAATGATCAATTAAAATGTTTTCACTGTCATTTAACAATTGAATCATGTATTGTTCTAAAATATCTGTCAAAGTTAATTATGAAATCAGTATTTCAATGCATACATGATGGATGAGGAAGGGGGAAGGTGTTAGATACATTGTAAGTTTATTTTTTTATGACAGTTTAGACGTGTGTTACTGTCAACACATTCTTTATTTTAAGGAAATATTGGAAACATAATCATAAGAATAGTTTAGAATTAAAACTCAGCTCTTGATAGGCGAAATGATTTAAGATATAATGACTAAACTCGACCCTTGAAATTTTTTAAAATGTTTGTAAATTTAAAACTCATTTTTTTTTATTTCATTTAAAACAATATTTCCTAATGATAAATTTTCCAAGCAAAATCTAGTGCTATAAAATGTGGACCAAACTTTCAAATAATTTGATGAAAGCCTATATTGTTATGTCTTAACCAAATATTTGCAAAACTATCTCTTTTCTTGTGAGAATTTGTTAATGTACTCATTGAGAAATTGTATTTTTAATTTTCTATTTCAGATATTTTCAGCTGTTGTTTTTAACCTACCAGGTCAGACAAAGTCTACAAGAAGCAAGGCAGTTAAGAATGTGAGACAGCATGCATGTTCTATTCTTGTCAAAATCTGCAAGGAATACCAGGATCTTGTCTTTGTAAGTGTCCATCTGTTTGGTCTGTAGAGTAGATTATTATATCTACCTATCCAGCTATAGATGATGTCAAATTGTTGTCTTGTTTGACCTTCATTCAGAAAATATTCATAATGACCTGGCCTAGTGACTATAAGTACAAAGAATATTTTATATTTGTGATATTTAACAGTATCTTTTGCAGTAATCGACCACACTAGCAAGTTGTGTCTCCATTAATAGCAATTGTTCATCATGCCGAATGCAGTGTGATAGTTTGAAAGCATCTGTATGTAATGCCTGTCACTAGATTATCTGAAAGTCTTTCACATAGTTAATTAGCAAAAATACAGAAAAAAAAGCGATTATTGTGCTTTCAATTTTTCGTTACCATTTATGCAATACAGTAAACAAAAAACAATTCAATTGTTAATCATACACTTGAATTTTAATATGAAATGGAAGGAATTTATTGCTATTTTAATATATCTTTTCAAAGTAATCTATTAACAAGAAACACAATTATCTTGAACGTGATTTTTCTGCAAATTTTATAAAATATTTGTCCTAAAACAGAAGGATTACAGTGTTAATTTTTTATTAGTTTGATTATTTGAAGAGTATGAAGAGCTATTGATTGTATTCGCCTAAACATAGGTGTTGGGATTGAAGTCCACCAACCCACTGACTCACAGGGAAGACTGAGCTTGCCCAGCTGTGTTGCCTCATTAAATAAAGTCATTACTTACTGACATACCCCTTATGTTCTCCAATGTGAAGAAGCTATCAAATGACATTGCAAAGGTTCTACTTGTGCTTTCTATTGCCTGAAATAATACACAAAGGCTAAGAAATACCTAAGGCCTTTATGTACCAGTAATAATTACGCTTTGCATAAATCAGTCAGTTAATCAATAAATTCGTCAATCAAGCAATAAGTCAATCAATGTGTGAAACATTTAACCATATATTTTCAGCCGGTTTTTGATGAGTTATTCAACCATATACAATCTATCAGTAATGATCCAGATAATTTATCTCAGATGGAGAGATGTATTCTGATGGAGGCCATGATACTTATTAGGTAATCATTTCTACCTTAACCTTTTGCACCGTCCGATTAGCTCAATAGGTAGAGCATCGGACTGTGAATCTGGTGATCTGGGTTTGATTCCTGTGTGATGCAGGTCACTTTGGTTGTGATTGATAACGAAATCTTTTCTACAGTCCCCATTGTACCTCTGCTCTTGTATGTACAGAAGTTATCAGTTCCTTGCGAAAGTGAAGGCAACTAGTACTGGTAACCTGCTTGACAGCCTGCCCAGGAACAATCAGGTGGCTGAACTGTGCTCTGGTAAATTCAATGTTGCTAACTGCAATGTTCTTGAGTGAAAACAATACCACCACCACCTCAACCCTTACCATGATGAATATCTTAAACTGACTTGTCCATCTTTTAATCTGAACAAGACCATTCATCATTTTAAGATAGAATTTCAAAATGATAAGTACCTAGGCAGTGTTTTACTAACGTAAGATTTGCGTAAGTTTTAACTTACGTAAGATTTTTTTACGTAAAGGTGTTTTACTAAAAATTTGCGTAAGTAAGGATTTCATAAGTGTTTACATAAAGTTATGCTTAAAATTTGTTGACTTAAAACTTACGTAAGTAAGACTGACATCATCAATGAAGAATGGCAGAGAAGGATAGCTAGAATCACGGATTTATATTACATATAAATCCGTGCTAGAATTTAGAGACAGATGTTACTGGTAATATATTTTAATGGTGAAAGCGGCTCTACAAAAGTAAAGTCTAAGTAAGGAAAGGATAATGTGGATTCCTGACTTGTTGAAAAGGAAATTTAGTAAATATAAAAAAAAACATACAGTTGACTCTCAACAAGTCAAAATCGCTTTACTCAAAATTCCGCCTTAGTCGAATAATTTCTAAAGTCCCGTCAAATTTCCTTCTTTATCTTTGTATTTTAACTCCGCTTAGGTCAAATTTTGACTTACCGAGACTCCTGTTTAGTCGAAAAGAAAATTTGGTCCCGTCAATTAAAGTCCACATATTTTCATCTCAATTAGTCGAAGTGTGATAACAGCCGACTGATCAAAGGTCGGCGACATCAAGGTAAGATGTTGTCACTCGTGATTTACACGTTTCATAGTAATTTTTAATTGCCGGTCATCATGTATTATTAACACGTCGTAAAAGTGTCTTTAATCCGTTTCACGACTTAATTGGTTTTAACAGTTAGATAACTAAATTAAAATTAAATTACATTTCTTTAAAAAAGTTGACTCGTGCCAGTCTGACGGGTGTTAGTCAAATAACAGCCTAGTCAAATAACAGCCTAGGCATTGATGTGTATTATCAACGTAAATGATATTTGTATAATTAATGTTCCGTCATATTGCATACATTAATTTGTACTTCCGGTTCACGATAGTTGCTAATTTCGTTTTCGTCCGATGATCAATTAAATCAAATATAATTGTGTGTTAATGTTTCACTATTAATATACATGTATTAAATTTTGAATGATATATTTTTGTTCATTTATAATTTGTAGTTGATAGTAAATTAAGTAATTTACCGTCACTTCAATGGTTAAATATTGCAGCATTGCCGCTAACAACAATAAGAAACCTACTTCTTTGCACATTCAATCAGGTACATGTATATACATGTACGAAGTCAACGTAATGGCGGTAGTTCCACGTTACTCGAATTCCGTTTCTCTCCAAGTAAAATACCTAGTTCCTTGGATTTCGAGTTACCGAGAGTCAACTGTATATGGAAGTTGTCCTGTCAGCTTAAATAGGAAAGCCTTTTAACTATTATATTCTTCCCCAAAAATATACCAGTGCCCCATACCTCCCTTAGTCGTGGTTGAGCTCGACCCCATGTATTTTAAATCAGTTGTAAAGTGTTTTATATTATTTTAACATGCTAAATATAGATTTATTGAGAATTTTATAAATTACATATAATGTTAACTGAAACTCAGTAAATTTAATACTGTATCAACAGGATAGGAGAGTATCTAAATTGATGGTGAACTTTATATGTGCATTCAATTGTATGATTTGCAAATGTACATAAAAGTATCTGTTTCAGTTGTTTTTATAGAAAATATTCAGATATCATTACTTCACTAAAATACTTACAAGTTACACTGCAATGAAGACTACAAACTTAAATAGCTTTTCCTGGAGGCTATAAACAGCTTTCACAAGTCAATCAAGTTCACTTACGAAGTCGACACAGAAACGGCTCACTTTTTGGATGTTACAATCACAAAAGACTCTAACGGGTACTTAAACACAACGGTATACACGAAACCCACCGACGCTCACCTTTACCTCCATTATTCATCATATCATCCAGATCACCAGAAAAATAGCATACCGTACAGCCAAGCTGTCAGGATTAGACGCATCTGCAGCGACCAAATAGCATATGAAGAATGCACAAGGAAACTGGAAACCAACCTAACAGCCAGAGGATATCCATTACAGTTAATTAAAAAAGCTATCAAAAAGGCCTCTGCACTAAATCGAGACGAGCTACTTCTTCGTCAAAACAAACCTATTATAAGAAAAACAATTCCATTCACGTACACATTTAATCCTAAAAATCCACCAGTTAACAAATTGATAAACACGCTCAAAAATATTCTATACGAAAACGATACGACTAAATTTATTAAAGATACAGCAATTTTAGCAGTCCAAAGACAGACAACTAATATAAAATCGATTCTTGTTAGATCAGCATTACAGGTACCCTCAAAAATCAGCGGCAGCTACCCGTGCGGCGAAAAATGTTATGCATGCCCATTTATGGCCAAATGTAAGGAATTCAAAAGCTCGCAAACGAATAAAACCTACGAGATCAAAGGCAACTATACTTGCAAAAATATGAGTATTATATATTTGATTACATGTAAGAAATGCAATATCCAATATGTAGGTCAATCTGGTAACTCATTTAGAGACAGGCTCTATGGACATTCAGCTGATATACGCGCTAAAAACAACGTGAAACCGGTTTCCCGTCACTTTTTGACGCACGACGTCACGAACATGAACGTTGTCATAATACAAACAACAACAAAAAACACGAACGTCAGACTTAGAACTGAAGAAGTTTGGATACGTCTTTTGAAAACCAAACAACCAGAAGGTTTAAATATCATTCAGTAAATCAAATATGGAAGTATATACAGCTAGAAAAGCTACGACAGATGACATAAATGCGGAAATCAATGAAGAGCCAGCAGTATGGGACAGAATATCACGTAAGAAACAGAAGAGGACAAGTACAGCCAACTTCATGAGACTATGTGACATATGTGGATATATCTCGACAACATCCTCCATGTTTTACAAACACAAGAAGAAACATGATCAAACTGAGAAAGAAAAAACAGAATACGAGTGTAGTTGGTGCCTAAAAACATTTTCCAGTAAATCCAACCTCAAACGGCATGCAAGAAAATCGATGCATATGACGGAAGTGGAGCTACAACAACCAAAGAGAGCAAATAGAACACCAAAACCAACAGTGGAGAAGTATGATCCGGAATTGAATTATAAAGTGACCCCTAGATTTAGGATCATTGAAGGAAAGAATCCAAGAACAGAAACAAAACAACCCAAACAAGAAGACGTTGAAAACTGTAAAATCCAGGTACTAGATCTTATTACACCCATAGTTTCACCAAATAAAACTCTCCATGATACAACTCTCTGTAGAGACGAATATGGACAAAATAGCGAAAGCAACGAACTAATCATTAACATTGGCAACATCTACGGAATTTTTCAGAAGAACGACAAATGCACGTGTAAACTGTTTTATCAATAAACTAACCAAGGACTTGGCACAGTGCCAATTACCAAAACGTTCATGTTACTATATATAGTAACATACGTCATTTACATATCATTTTGTGTACTTTAGCTATATATTTTCAATGTAAAATTGTCCTGAAGAAGGTCTATAGTGAGACCGAAACCGGTAGACCATCATTAAAAGCAGTTAAACCTACCCTGGTGTTGGTCGTTTTGCATCTCCTATATCCCGCTTTTTCTGTGTTTAAATAGCTTTTGTTTTTGTGTGTGGCATTTGTGTGTCATCTTTTTTATGACTAAATACAATAAAAATAAATAAATAACATAACAAATAAATAAATAAATGAATAAATAAACAAAAAATATTTAAAAATGTTGGTTAAGTGATTAAGGTATACATTTCATATAAAAATGAGAATAAAAAATCCACATTTTCACTTGCGGACATTACAGTTCTTTCACTTCTCAAAACAAACAAAAACCCTTTAAATATCCTCTGTGATGGATCAACTGTGGTTCTCCTTAATGCTCTTTAAATACATTTATTTAAAATCGAGAGAAAACCCTGCGTGATTGATGGTCGTTGGCACATATATGCACTTAAAATACAAATTGCACAGCAACATTCCTGAGTGTCCGTAGATGCACTATGAAATTCTAGTTTAGCCTTGTTTACAACGCTTCTTTATTAACTTATTCTTAAAACCTCCTTTGAAGAGTTACGCACGATTTTAACGTAAGTTTAAGAAAAATCTTACAAACATTTTGTGGAACACGCTTACGATTTATGTAAGTTTAAACGTAAGCGTAAAGTTACGATAATTCTAACGGAAAAACTTACGCAATGTTAGTAAAACGCTGCCCTACTGAATAGCATACAGTGCAGAAATTGATGAAACGGCATAGATGATCATGGTCTGCACTTGTCGCATTGTCTGGCATGGGTAGATTCAGTCACTGCGGGCAGGCGGAAGAATTAATACTTGGTATCACTTATGTAAAATATTTACCAAATTCTTTCAGTTGCAAAACACAGCTAATCAATATTAGTAATATATTCTTGAAAACAAATTACTGCATAATATCTTAAAAATTTGTCAATGTCATTTCAGGGTAATTTATTTAATTTAGTAACAATGCATTTGTTGTAAACTGTATTTTATATTTATTTTAATATAGCATATATATACATAATATTTATGTAACTTAAGTCTTTAGAATGGTTGTAATATTTTTGTGTTTCAGTAACAACTTCAACAATTTTGAGAAGCAGTCTGCATTTATAGAGGAAGTTTTAAAACCAGTCAAGGAATTTTGGTCATCTGAAGAATTCAGAATGTAAGAATAAAGAGTGAACCATGTACAGTACTGTAGAATTCTTTTTTGTTAATTTTTTTATGACTTTCGAAATGAATAAGAAAAAAAAGTTAACTGGTATGTAGTTGAATCAATTAGTGATAGGAAATATCTACATATGAAAAGGAATCTCTATGATAGACAGTTTTGTTCAAATTTTGTAAGAAGTTTCATATTACATAGTGTATTGGCATATTTATAATTTTTTTCGTTTTTTTGGGGTTTTTTTGCCATCTTTTGAGATACAGTGTTGAGTATAGCATATGTAGTGTCTCTGTCTATATAAATGTATATGAGTGTTAATCATGTCAGTCAAAAAATTTATCAATCAATGATGGTCTTTGAAATTACTTAGCAGGAATGTTATCTAGCATTAGATTATATACCAGTAATGTACCTGAACAAGTCAAAGGTCAAAATCTTTTTTGGTACATTACTGTATTATTTCTTGATCTGCTTTAAAAATGTTTTGACATAATTATTTACCAACATTAAATAATGTGTCTGGCAGACACATTTCTAACCAATCATGTATGTTCACAGGGCATTTTGGTCAACAGATAAATTTATGTCCTATGTTGGATTAGACCAAGCCCCTGTGGAACCTAGCTCTGCAGATACATGTGGTATAAACCGATCTCATGTAAGTATTATTATCTTTTCAATCAGTTTGTTTGTTTTCTGTTGTTTTTTTTACGCTTATTTTAAAACATATTTTGATCATATTTTGGCAGTCAATCCACCTAACCAGCTTTTCAGGATAACTACACAGTAATTACTATTTCTCAGCAACTGACCGACTATTCATCCATCATGGTCTCTGAATCAGCCGTGAGAGACAAATAACCATTAGACTCCATGACTGAGATCAGTTGTCATTCAAGGCCCTGGATTACTAATCAAATTGTCTCCCTTTTGACCTATGCAGGCGAAATTCTTTTGAATGAAATTACCTAGGTCATGGTTTAAGTGTTACTAAATTACCAGAAGTAAAATTTATTTGAATCTCTTATTTAGTAGTATAAGCAAGAATTTCTTGTATTTTCCATGATTTTATGTCATGTTTTTTTGCAATTTTATTTCGAATAATATATTTCAGATTAGCTTTTGTATTCACACAATTCTAGCTGTAATCAAACGTAGCAAGTGGCCAGTTGATTTCAAGGTTAGATTTTTGTATTACTAATATTTTCACAAGTACATTTTAAATGAATCTTGTGTATGAGATAGGTAATATTAAGTGGTTTAATTGTTGCACGGTTGTGACGTCATTTATGTTATACAAACATAGCTTTAAGACGTACTGAATGTTAGCGTTACACTATAAGGGCATCAATGAAAAGACGATTCTTTTTCTGTAAACAGTTCTTATTTTGGCTGTGTAATACATTGAATATTATATTTGTGTACTGTCATTATTATATTTATTGAACCCATTAACTAGAATATTATGCAAGCCAATATAATTTTATTAAATTAATTCAATAAATTAAGTTTTGAACCTACACTCATTCATTATCCTTTATTTATACGATGGTGGATATCAGTTAACTGAACTTGCTATATGTTAGTTCTAATATATTACTATTGATTTATTAAGGCTGCGAAAGATGGTGGGTTTGTAAATGTAAACCAGAATGACTTTATCATGCGTAACCCAGCAACCGCACACATCACCTGTCTGCTAGAAAATGTTCTTGCTCTTCTCAAGTAAGTTCTAAATAGATTTTACTTTTAAAGATTGAAAAATTGTGTTGTTTGTTTCTAAGATGACTATGGATGCTCTATAAAATAATGTGAAAATGACTGTTTTATACTTCAGTTGCACTAGAATTAAAGTGAGCTAGAGAAATGTGGTTCTGATATCTGGAAGTCAAGCAGATATTATTCACTTTAAGGCAATTTCAGTGTTACTATATGCTGGTATAATGGACCTTTCCCGTTTTTCATAGCGGAACATTAAGCCCAGCTTTTCCATTCATTGCTAGATCAACTGCTCACAAACAGTATCACAAACAAAACCATGTGTTCTTTTGTGCAAACCAGGTCAACCAGTGACTACGTATTATCTCAGTGTAGGGATTGGATAACAAATTTACATAAAACTGTATACACTGGAAAGATCCATTGTTCATCTGGTAAAATGTTCTTGTTATCAATCCGGTCAGCTCAATAGGGAGAGGATTAGATTTGTTAACCAGGGCTTGCTTGTTTGATCCTGGGCATGGCAATATTTCACGTGACATGTGATCTTGATCAGAAGTCTATTGGCCATTTGTCTCTCTCCACAGAGTTATAATAATAATTCACTTGAGAGAAATTGATTGTTACTGGATAACTTGGACTGCTGAGATATTGATAATTTTAACTTGAAAAAAAAAAAAAAAAGTAAACCATTTCAGAATTTATACAACAAATGATATTTATATACTTCCCTCTGAATAGTATTACATTTATAAATAGAAAAAAATACAGAAATTATAAGAAAAGAGAATCATAAATAATGTTTATTTCAGGGCCATGAATATGTTATTCTGTGAGAATTACATGAAACTGTGTCATCCTGATTACCGAAAGGCCTACTTATTACCAGACAATGAGATACTATCACTCCTAGGTAATTTTGAAGAAAAAAATGCAAACTCTTTGCTTGTTCTTGTCTATTGAGAATAGTATGGCTATCCTACTCATCTGTGCATTGACATTACACTTTGCTCGAGTTTAGCTTGCAGCTTTACATGTAGCTTCATGTTTGATCAACCACTGAAGGTATTTGTTCGTAACTTCCTTCACACATGTATTTGGGATTATCATTTAAGATTACACTGTCCAAGGCCTGTAACTCTATCATGGAATTTGAGTGAATTATAGTCCTTCTTGAACTGAGGAAATTCTTGATTAAAGCTATGTATGTAAGATCAACCTCCATCATAACTACTGAAGATATTCAGTTAACTTTGAGACAATAATTGAAGATTACTCTCTAAGACCCAGCACAGAATTTGCATGAATTTTATATATCCTTTTGTGATCATGGAGAAGTCCTGTTTATTGTTGTGTGTTCAAAATCATTCTCCATGCTGACTGAATGTTTTTGCATAAAAAACTATTCATGTTTATTGGATTGTGACTGAAGGACCAAAAACCTGTAACTCAAGTACAGTTTTGGACTGAATTATAGCCCTTTGTGTAATAATAACTCTGTCATGGATTTTGAATGAAATCATCCTGTCTATGAATATCTACATTATCCATGCTCTTTGTTTTACTATCAAGCACTGAGAATGTTTAGTCAAGTGTGCAGTCCTATTGACAGCTGTTGCGTATTTCCCTGAAAGGTGGCATCAATACAAGAGAGTAATTTTTGTGTATTCAAATATTTTTTCAGTTGTAAATGCTGCATGTTTATTAAATTTTTTAGGAAACATTCTATCCTGAAATATTAGATAAAATTTGTCAAAATACATGTAATTAAAATAACCCTCATTCCACTTGATACAAGGTATAAGTGTGCTGATAAAAAATGTAAATTCAATAAAATTTTACATTTGAAAAGTCACATGAATTAGTACTACTTTCTCCTTCTTGTCTTATATTTTTAATTTAATTTTAATTATTTGTGAAAACTTGTTTGTTAATGTATATGTGTGAAGGTTAACAGCATTGGCATATGTTACAGGAGTACCTATGCCACATGTTGATGACTCGAGTCGTATCAGGAGTAAACAACCTCTAGAAAGAATGCAGAATTTTCTCACAATTTCGTATGAAATAAGGTAAATATGTGTACAATATTGCGGGAAAAATGAAATGATGCCTAATCCTATTTAACATCGTTTGGTTATTAATGTCATAATCTTGAGGATCCCTTTAACAGTGAAACCAGTAGATTTTGTTTTTCATTATTACAACAGTTTTGCTAATAAAATTACAATGTAAATTGGAAACAGCATCGCTTCATTCTTTTTTCCCTGCTATTTTTTTTATCTGTACTTCAATATAGAAAAATATATAGGATTTTACATGTATTGTCATCTCATGTAGACCCATATTAACCAAGTCTTTGAAATATTGTAATGGAAACCTGGGACTAGAGTTTATAACCCATTTATTACTCATTGGCCAATTATGGAACCATCTTTTTCATCTGTTGCTTTTTGGCAATAAGTACAGTAATAGTGAATTTGTATTTTGTATAGAAGTCAAAATACTACTTTGTTTGCATTTTGCTACTTTAATGACAAATTGTGTCACATTTTTCACAACATTTTACAGGTAACAAGAATTAAGATTTTTGTCAACTTATGTAATGTTGGTTTATTTCAGTTTCCATATTCTGGGCAATGCAGGTCAATGTCTAGGAAGTGAATTTTATGCCATACCAAACCTAGCCGAGTCTATGATACAGACTGTGTTATCAAATCTTGAAGTTTTACCAGACTATAGACTGAGACCCATCATTCATATCCTTTACATAATACTAGGGATAAAATTTGTATTTGTTGAAATCCAGTCTATTCAAGCTACATTGTCATTGTCATTATTTTAAAAGTTGTGTAAAGATATTATCAGGAGCTTGGAATTATTGAGTGATGTCAGGGGGCTTCAAAAATTTCATATTTTTCACTATATCAAGTTCAGACCTTATCAGGGACTTGAACTTTATGTAGCTATGTTTTGGGCAGCTGATACGTATTCAGGTTCCCTATTTATATAAAACTTCCCTGAGGTGGGGGATGTTGGTAACTCAGTTACAAATTCTTGTTTGTTAATTGATAGCAATGGAGACGAGATTAAATCATTATATTTGTTTATTTACTTTTGAAAATTTGTTTACTGTAATGAGCATTTTCTAAATTTTCATAAAAATCGACATGAACCTGGAAGCCTCCTGCATTTGAAGCATATGCCAAATTATTGCATTAAACTCTCTCATTGTAATTGACATTCATTTCATTGTACTCCTTAACCCTACATCAAGTGTTTTTCTGAAGCCATTCATCAATAATTGTCCTAGTGAGTACTACAGAGTGGCAGTGCTACCAGTGTTAGCTCATGTGTGCCCATTTATGTATCTGGTTAGTATATATGTAACCATCATGTTAAAAATCTTCAATGTGGAGAAAACTATTCATCATTTTTTTGGGAAAATTTCAAAATATTTACTGATTGAATAGCGAACAGTGCAGTAAAATATCTGTACATACTCTTAAGTTTCCAGATGCACATATATCTTAATGTAATAAATTGCATTTTAATGAAACAACAACTACATATACTATCTACAATGGATAGCTCATTACTTACAACTTGATCAAAGAAACGAAATATAGTCAAAACTACATGTATATGTTACTGTTTATGAACAATATTTTGCTTGTTTTCTTTCAGAGGCTTGGGAAGAAATGGAAAGACATAAATGAGAGATGTCAGACAAGGTAGAGACAATTTTCGAATATTTTTATGCCTCAATTTTTAAAAAGCATACTATGATAAATATGGTGATCTATTCATACTTCATGTATGTTCTATTATCCTTGTTCTATCAAATTTTGGGCAAGGTATAAGCTGTGGTTTACGTTACTTGGAAGGGATATTGCTCATAGCAAGTAGATGACTTTTCTTGGGGGCTTCTGTGGAAGAGGGTTTTAATGTCATTGACTTCAAACCACTGCAGAAGGTTCAAGTCCCAAGAGAGACTGGATTGTTTAATGTAGGGATGTCATCTGGAGCCGAAACGGCCATCCGGATATCCGAATCAGACATCCGGATACATCCGGATGTTCGGATCGTTGTTATATCTTAGTTGTCTGATATGACATATAACCGAATGTCAGACATAATCCCCTTCGGACAAAATCCCCTTCGCTAACCCGGACAAAATCCCCTTCATGGGTGGACATAATCCCCTTCATGTTTTTGAAAGGCTGGACAAAATCCCCTTCACTACCCGGACAAAATCCCCTTGTTTCATAGGTTTCTAATGTATGATTATGCTCCATAAAAATTGATGAATAATGAACTTTTGTTTTTTTATTTATTTATAATTATATATGTATCAATAGTTAATCTTTATTTAGTTTAGAAGTTTTCATTAAAATTATGGTAAATTATCAACTGCATAACACATATTTGATTAGGAAATTTCTTAAATTGTTTTAAATTGATTAGTATGAAAAACATTTTTATTAACAAATAATTGTTTCATTGATTGTATAAGTTGATAATTCTTAATGATATATACTATCAATTGTTACAATTTCTATTGATGAAAGAGTGATAATTTAATCAAACCAAGATCACTGCACTGCTTGATTGATTGTTATGAATGCTTTAACAAAGCAATTTTAATGTGATTAAAATGTGCTACAATTGTAATTGAATGTGCTTTTCTGCTGAAATAATTTCTACTTATTTATACATTAAGATATTTACCACACAGCATAATGCAGTATGTCGCTCTCATACCCCCTTTATAAACCGAAAATTCCTCTGAGGGGGATTTTGTCCTAGGTAGCAATTTTATGAAGGGGATTTTGTCCACTTCAAAATTTCACACATGAAGGGGATTATGTCCACCCATGAAGGGGATTATGTCCAGATATACAAAAATACATGAAGGGGATTTTGTCCGAAGGGGATTATGTCCGTACACCCATATGACCATTTATTCGCGACCCTTTTAAAATTGAAATATTTCGGTTTACTTCCGTATTAATTGAATGTGACATATCAAAAATTGTTCGTTATTGTTTTATTTTTTTATATATAGAATACGACTGTGATCAATAAATTTAGTGCGTATGGTACTTACGATTTCAAATGAAATGAAAACGAAAATCATCACCGATTGTCTCCTCAATTAGTGCTATAATACACAATAACACTCGCTCACATTTGTGAAAACAAAATAACACCCATAAAAAATTAAATATAATGTTTCCATTGTTCAAAAACACGCATACAATTTACATACAATGACCTTTGACAGGCGTGTAGCCGGCTTTTTAAAAGAATCTGCCAATCTTTGATGTTTACCAACATGTAGCCCTGGCTGTTTGATTCGCATCATCAAACAAGTTGCCGAAACTTACACGAATTACACACATTTTGAGTTTTCCTTAGTGAAAAAAAAACTAAGAAAAAAAATGTTTTTTTAAAAAATTCACATGTTTGATTAATATTAAAGGAGAAAGTTATTTTGTCGGATAATTATAGTATCAATTTCAATAAAATCTGTGATAATAAACATATTATTATTCGTAAGTGCATTTCTTGATTTGATTATTTTATTTCTGCAGATTTTTCATTGTCTCAAAATAAGGAGTCGACGGGTCGGTAAGCCGAAATATATATAAAAATGATAGCCTAATTAAATAACTTAAATTTGATTAACAACGTGTGTCATACCTGACTCGTAATTATTATAGTAATTATTGATTTTTTGTGGTCTGCAGAGATTATGATGTGTATTGTCAAACTGAGGTACAATATACAATATGGTGTCAACACCATGTCTATGTCGATTATCTCAAGGCATGTATTTATCACATTTTCGCAATATAAACGAACATGCGGATCGTAAAATCGGCTCCGGACACCGAATCGTGATCCGAACGTTTGGATATCTGGACTCCGAATGACATCCCTAGTTTGATGTGAGGAAGATATCCAGCTAGCTTACAGACTAATGAATCAGTTTGTACTTGAAATATTGAACAAATGCCACTTGGAAGTTTTCCTTCACTGTTAAAAATGACCTTAACAATGTTGATATGACCTAAAACCCAACCAAAAAATAGAATAAGATGAAGAAAAATACTCCTAATGATTTCGAGATCAAGGTCTCAGCACATGCCAAATTTGGTAAAAATAAAAGTGGCAAGGTCTTTAATAAAAATAGCCTGTACATATGTATAAAAAATTTAGATAAATAGATTATTTAAAGAGATTCAAAGACACGCAAACTTATATAATAGTATGTCTTATGCACCTTGCCTTTACATGAAGTAGGGTATAAGTAGAGAACATTTGTTGTTTTTTTCAAGAAAAGATACAGATGATGACAATCAAGAAAGTCAAGAAGTTATAGAAGAGCAAGTCACCAGGCAACTAACCCGAGAATATGTTGAACTATTAGGTAAACTTTGCTAAAGTTTTCTGGATTATTCCTAATTTAAAGGCTTTAGGACTTAACAGGCTCTCAAAATTAAAAACTATGGCCAATTACCTTTAGAAACTGTAATTTTAATGCAACCCTTTGTAGAAGCAGGGGATGAAAGAAATACAGGTAAATATTAACTGAATTGTGAAAAATTATGACAACATGATAACTACCAGTAAACAAGGACCATTTTTCCATTGTCTGCTCTATGATGACAAGTTTGAAACAAGTTAATGATTTTCACATATTTGCTTTTGTGTTTTCCCAGGATATCCCCTTTTCAAGAATTTTAATACTCAAAACAGCGGGTGTTAAAAACAGTGTAGCAGCTGTAAAATGTTGTCATAAACTTTATCTGAATGTAATATTATATTTTTATGTTCTTTCGGGGTCATTGATTATTATCTTATAGGTATTAAAGATTGTATGTTGCTTAAGCCGATAGTTGGGGTGTGCTGCAGATGGAGGGGATTAGGGGAGGGGTTATTTGCTGCGGAGAGACATGCTGTACTTTTCGTGATATTTCATGAACAAACTCAATTTACTGGAGGTGATTATTTTCATTGCTCTTGAAGGATCTCCCTTTTTTCCTGATTTTTTACTGATACATATATAATTTTTACACATTATAATAAAGATATATTTTATAAACAGGAATTATATTCTATAAGAAAAGGAATAAAGAAAGTAATGGGGCAGGAGGAGACAAGATGTGTGACGATGATGAGTTTCAATCTCCAAACAGACCCGACCTTGGAGAACTAGGAAATTTATGTCTTAGCATTGATGTATGTAATAGTAAATATATAATCCATTATCTCTTTAACATGCTTAATATCTTATATATATATAATATCTTAGATAGACTTGTGCATCTTTAGATCTGGACTCAACCATTTGTCATATATATGGAAAATTTCAAAATATGTACAGACTGAATAGCAAACCGTGAAGATCAAGATCAGACAATTGATTTTGGTCTGAGCTGGTTGCATAGGTAGAATCTGTTAAGGAATAGATGAATGCAAGAATAAGTTGTTGTTTTTTTGAAAACTGGATTAATATACATCTTATCTGAAGTCATGTGACATGTGACATATTAGATACTTGATTGCTCAGGCTGTTCACTAAGGGAATTGTATGAAGTATATTAAAATATATATCTCTGGTTCTTCAGGATCATTAATTATAGTGTTAAAAACTGCTTGTTGAAGCAACTTGCTTTTACCCAGGCCATCATGCATTCTGTGATATATACAAAGTCTGATCAGGTTATGTACTGTAGACTGCTTGATTTTAGAATTTTGATAACCTTATCATTCATTTTTAACTTGTCTGTTTTGAAGAAAAAACCTACTGAAGCTATAACGATGGCAGTGACATTGATGTGAAAAATTTTTGATATAGCCCATTTCTTACAATATGAAACTTGGAATACTTGCTTGTCATGACTAAAGGCAGTTGTATGACAAGTGACATAATTCGGAAAGCTATATTTTTGGAGTTATGCTCCTTTTTATCTTAGAATTAAAGTGGTTAATAGTTGAGCATTAACACTGTACAGAGTGAAATGCATGACTCCATGAAACAAACTTGTAGCAAACATGCTAATGATCCAGTTGAAAATACTTTATCAATAAATATTTGTCCATTTTTCAATCTGGACAAAACTTTTCATTTTGTGTGTGTGTGGGGGGGGGGTTCAATATATGTACTGACAGAAAAGCAAACTGTGTAGATGTACCACCTGATCTTGGTCTGCACTCATTACATGGATATATTCATTCTCACTAACCAGATAGAAAAATCCTTAAATGTTACTAAAAATAGCGGTGTTGGAAAATCTTATCTCACATGGGCTTATCTCACACTCAACGTGCAGCAGTTCTAAATAATACGCGATTCACTCCTATTTTAACAAAAATTAAACGTCAAAAGGTCAAAATGTATTAAAAATTTGTAAGCTAATCTATTAAATTGTCTACGGAATCAAAATAGATTGATATTAACTTTCACACTGCAATGAGTCCTACTTTACCTAGATCCGCCCTTTCCAATAACGATCTGTTACTAAAAATAGCACACTTTAAAATATCGAAACGTTCTTCGTAAAATCGGATATTATGACACTTTGCCTGAAAAACATTCATGTTTTTTGTTATGATAACGATGCTTTTTGATGACGAATCTCATTTTGATATATTTTAATTGAATATTCGGCCAAAATAACCGAAAAAGTAGAAAAATCTTTGCAAACGGTAAACGCTTTTTTGTCAACCATTGAAGTATGGACTGAATTCCTTATAAACACTTATATTATGGCACTTTCCGTTTTTAATATCGATGTGTTTCATCATGATAACCTTGCTTTTTCATGAGGGGTCTCATATGAATTTATTTTCATTAAATTTTTCACACATAAACTTGGTCAGAAGAATTTTTTGCGGACGTACATAATGCTTTTTAATCATAGAAAGTCAGGCGCCTAAGCCCCGCCCCCTTTTGAAAACTAGGTACGTTGAAATAAAACAGTTTTTTCTTTATAAGAAAATAATTAAATAGATCTATCATTGTATGAATAATTCCATACAAAAAATAAAGTAAATGCACAAGTTTACGCAGAAAATAACCTTATTTATTATGGAAGATTCCACTACGTCTGTTTTAATTTTATTGATTTTCATAATAAACAATTTATTTTTTGAAAAATTTGCAATAGATCGCCATAGTGTAGTCAGGTACGGTTTGTCAGCGTACGGTATGGTACGGACATATACAGAACATTATTGTGAAAGAGTTGTTCCCCTTCGTATTACATGTACGCCATTTGTTGCCGATTCTTTAGGCAATATTAATAAACTACAAAACTCATATATTTGTGTGTTTCTATACCGTTAAACCTTACTGGCGTGGTGGCAGCGGTGGGATAAGGACTCACTCTCAATCTGCAACCCAGTAATTTGCGGACACTGTTGTGGACATTTCACGTCAAAATAAGTGCACAAAAAACGGATAGTTCTACTCTACTGCGTAGTGACAAAACACATAAACATTTACAATAATGGCTCAAGTACGTGCACCCAAGCAATGGTGTTTGACCAAACAAGAAACTATTACATCGTTCGAGTCTTGGAGACAAAATTTACAATATACTTTGTCCCTGGATCCCAATTTTGGGAAACAGGACGTTTCGGCCCCAAACCAAATCGGCCCCAGTCGAAAAATCGGCCCCTGGACGTTTCGGCCCTTTTCCGCGAGACGTTTCGGCCCCACTATAGACTATAGTATATTGCTTGATTGATTAACAACAATTAATTTAATAACAATTATGACACTTTAATTCTTTAAATAATTATTTATTATCTTTTGATCTCTTTAACCAATTAGATGTACGTTAATGTTTTTAAAGGTGACATTTATTTTATTAGATTTCTACCAAAGGTACATCAGCGTGCTAGCATTTGGATAATTATAAATATTTTGATAATCATACAAAATACTGGGAACAGGCAAAATATGAATGTCTCGAATGTCAATTTAAGATGAAATTTTATTTGTAGTGATATGGAGGGTGCACGAATAACCGACACTATAATTGTTCTGTACTTGTATTTTTGTATCCATCAAACTCGTCACTGTTAAATAGTTGTTGATGATAATTTAATGTCTGTCTCATGTGTTGTTTTGTGTCTTGCTTCTTAATCTTTCAAATAAAATATTATCTATATATGTTGTAAATAATTGTTTGTTTGTGTATTATATTTTTTCAAATAAAGTTTATGTTCTGTTCTGTTTGTATTTATAAAATATTATCTATATATGTTATAAATAATTGTTTGTTTGTGTATTATATTTTTTTAAATAAAGTTTATGTTCTGTTCTGTTTGTATTAATGAAATATTATCTATATATGTTGTAAATAATTGTTTGTTTGTGTATTATATTTTTTTAAATAAAGTTTATGTTCTGTTCTGTTTGTATTAATAAAATATTATCTATATATGTTGTAAATAATTGTTTGTTTGTGTATCATATTTTTTCAAATAAAGTTTATGTTCTGTTCTGTTTGTATTGATTACTTTTCCCCTACTACTATTATAATCTAGTTTTTATACAAAATGATTAAATATATATATTAATTGATTCATTTAATCATTGAAATGCTATTAATATATCGGTTTAAAATACAGTACATATTATGGGGCCGATTTGGTAAAGGGCCGAAACGTCCGGGGCCGAAACGTCTTGGGTAGTTTGGGGCCGATACGTCTTGGGGCCGAAACGTCTCGAAATCCAATTTTGCACCGTTTCTAGTTGAGGGATTTCAGTGGGAGCGAAAAACAAACACAAACCCAGAACGCGGATTTACTGATGATGGCGAATCAGTTCCTGAGGCAAAGAGGCGCACAGCTGCACAAAAAGTGATTTATCTAGAACTCATGTTAGGGCAAATTGCAAACTTCTGCCCAATAATTTCTCGTAACACTATCGTGAAAAATGCAACGTCAATAAAAACTATTTGGCAGACAATTCGTTTACATTTCGGATTCCAGTCAACAGGAGCACATTTTCTGGATTTTGACAGTATACAACTTCAACCAGGAGAGAGACCAGAGGATTTATACCAGCGTTTATCAAGTTTTATCGAAGACAACACATTAAAGAAAGATGGTGGCCTATCTCATATGGGAACTGTACCAGATGAAGACGAAGAGATTACCCCAACAGTCGAAAACTTGGTTGTATTAACATGGTTGAGATTAATAGACAATCGTTTGCCGGCACTAGTAAAACAGCGCTACGGAACAGAACTTCGTTCAAGGACTTTAGCCACACTTAAGCCTGAAATTTCTCTCGCTTTAGACAGTTTGCTAGACGAAATACATGCCGTAGCTGATGCAAAAGTCATGCGTTCTGCTTTTAAAGGTTCTAAAGACAACGGAAAATTTCGATCAATCTCTCGTGCCACCCTTCGTGTCCCTTATGTAAACAAGCTGGCCGAAGATCATTCAATCATTTTCTCAGCAAATGCAAATTCTTACCTGAGGAAGACAAGCGTTATCTTTCAAGTGTTCGTCAAACTGTCTCGGACGAAACTGCGGGGGATCCGGAAATCGATCAAGAGTCTTACGAAGATGACAATCAGCAATCTCAATGCTATGGTATACATTCGGCTACTTCTAGACGTGTAAGCACCAAACAGTCTCCAACATTAAAAACATTTTATAAACATTTTCCTCTGAATGTTACCCTAGATACTGGAGCAGAAATCAACATGTTGAAATTGTCTGTTGCACACTATATGGGAGTACCTATTAAGAAAAGCAATCAACGTGCACTCCAGGCAGATGGTTCCACCCCATTAAAGGTGGCTGGCGAGACACATATAGTTCTTACTCGTGGCGAACAGAGTTTAACTGTTGAGGCATTAGTGGTTGAAAAACTTAGATGTGGATTTACTTGGTGGAATACCTTTCATGGCAACAAATGACATTATGGTTAGACCTGCAAAGCAACAAATTGTTATTCATGTTCTGATACAGTGTTTTATGCACCAGAGGTACTGACTCGGTTTCTCACAGTGTTCGAAGGACCCAAGCTTTTGTCCTTAGGTCAAGTTCCAATATGTCTTCAATTACATGGCCGGGATCTTACCTGGAGGTCACTTTGCCAGACAACATTGATCCAGATGGCACACTTGCCATAGAGCCCAAGTTCGGAGCATCCAGTAACAAACAATGGCCACTTCCACAAGTTATTGAAGCAGTGTCTGGTAAAGTAAGACTACTGAATTCAACGACCAATCCCATCCATGTGCATAAAAATGAACATGTTTGTCAAGCTCGCCACACTGTGACTCTTATGATACAAAAGCTCAAGACTTTCAAGACACACCCCTGGTTCGTACTTGTCATGCCAAGATGACTACCAATAATCATTTCTCTGATACCGTATCAGTTGACCCAGATGCTATACTACCTGAAAATACTCGCCAGTGTTTCCAGAACATCTTAGAGCAATATGATAGTGTATTTGATAAGACTCTGTCTGGATATAATGGTTTTTCTGGGCCATTTAAAGCAGTTGTTAACATGGGCCCTGTTCAAACCACCTCAGCGTAAAGGACGCCTACCTCAATATGCAAGAGATAAGTTAGTTGAGCTACAAGAACACTTCGATGATTTAGAACAGCAAGGAGTGTTTTCGCGCCCAGAAGATATCCCAATTACAGTTGAATACTTAAACCCTTCTTTCTTGGTAAAAAAAGGTCAGGGAGGTTTTCGGTTGGTCACAGCGTTTGCTGATGTTGGTCGTTATGCTAAACCTCAGCCTTCACTCATGCCAGACGTAGACACTATACTTCGTACAATAGGTCAATGGACATACATAATAGTAACTGACCTAACAAGCGCATTCTACCAAATTCCTTTGTCGAAGGAGTCCATGAAGTATTGCGGAGTAGCGACACCTTACAAAGGCATACGCGTTTAGACAAGATGTGCCATGGGTATGCCAGGCTCAGAAACAGCATTGGAAGAACTCATGTGTCGTGTGCTAGGTGATTTATTGCAAGAAGGTGTTGTGGCGAAACTTGCAGATGATTTGTACATCGGTGGAAACACTACAGACGAACTCCTTGCCAATTGGACCCGTGTATTAGATGCTTTACAGAAAAACAACTTGAAACTGAAGCCCACAAAAACCATCATATGTCCAAGATCCACTACGATCCTTGGATGGATATGGTCCCAAGGAAAATTTTCAGCAAGCCCCCATCGTATAGCTTCTCTTTCGGCTTGTCCACCCCCTCAAACTGTCCATGGGTTACGATCATACATTGGCGCTTACAAGGTGTTGGGTCGTGTTCTACCTGGTTGTTCGCAATTGATAGCTCCACTCGACAACATTACAGCTGGTGGGAACTCTTCAGACAAAATCGTTTGGGATGAAGCCTCACTTAAACATTTTCAAAACACTCAGTCAGCACTAAATTCAAACAAGTCAATTGTCCTTCCTAGACCTACAGACCAACTTTGGATAGTCACTGATGGGTCAGTCAAGAAACGTGGCATTGGCGCTACATTATACGTTACGCGGCATGGCAAGCTGTTACTCGCTGGATTCTTCAGTGCCAAGTTACGAAAACACCAGGTCACTTGGTTACCTTGTGAGATAGAGGCTCTTGGCATTGCAGCCGCAGTCAAGCACTTAAGTCCATACATTATACAGTCCAGTCAGCAGACGTGTGTGCTAACAGACAGTAAACCGTGTGTTCAAGCAATTGATAAGTTATGTAGAGGCGAGTTTTCTGCTAGTCCAAGAGTGACATCCTTTCTTTCTGTTGTTAGCCGATATCAAGTACATGTTAAACATCTTGCTGGTTCTGCCAATGTCCCATCTGATTTTGCCAGCCGCAACGCACCAGAATGTGAAAACCCTACTTGCCAAATATGTACATTTATTCATATCACTGAGGATTCTGTTGTTAGAGCGATTAACATAGAGGATGTACTTAACAGTAAGAGCCGCTTACCATTCACATCCAGATCAGCTTGGAAAGATATTCAGTCAGAGTGCCCAGACCTTAGACGCGTTCATTCACATTTATTACAAGGCACTAGGCCTTCAAAGAAACTAACAAATGTTAAAGATGTCAAACGTTACCTCAACTCTGTATCTATTGCCAAGGATGGTATACTTGTCGTAAAACATACTGATCCTCTTGTGTCTTCGGTTGACCTAATTGTCGTACCCAGATCTGCCATTGATGGTCTTATCACCGCCTTGCATATCAAACTTGACCATCCATCAAAACATCAAATACTACAGGTTTTGAAGAGACATTTTTTATGCCTTGACATGAGCCAAGCAGTTGAAAGAGTATCTGACATGTGTCATAGCTGCGCGTCTTTACGTAAACTACCAACAGGGTTTTTGTACTCAATCCTCAGAAGACCCTCCTGAGGTAGTAGGAATGAGTTTCGCTGCAGACGTCATGAAACGTAATAAAACAGTTAAGTACTTGTGTTAAGAGAAACATCAACTTCATACACTGTTGCCTCCATAGTAGAAAATGAAAGAAGAGATACTATAAGATTCCTTAGTATGCCTGTGCACTGAGTTACATCCAATTCATGGACCTCCTGCTGTCATTCGAGTTGACGCTGCTCCATGTTTTACATCTTGAGAGATGACGCCATACTCCGTCGTCTGAATATAACCTTAAGATATTGGTCGCGTGAAAATGTTAACAAAAACCCTGTAGGAGAAAAAGCAATTCAAGAGCTTGAAGATGAGATCATACGTATTGAGCCAAGATGGCGGTTCGCTTTCTAAGGTTCAACTGGCGATTGCTGTCGCGAAACTGAATTGTCGCATCCGTCGTGAAGGATTATCAGCTAGAGAGTTGTGGACGCAAAGAAATCAGTTTACTCATGAAAACTTCCTATTTCGGACAGAAATGTTATTTCTCAACAGTATCAGGCACGTTTAGAAAATCACAGTGCAAGTGAAAAGTCCAAAAGCTCTAAGTCATTTGTGAAAGCCTCTCATGTTAGTGTAGGAGATATAGTTTACTTATATTCTGACAAGAATAAATTACATTCAGGCAAAGATACCTTGTAGTGTCAAAAGAGATGATTGGTTTTACATAAAGAAGTTCATCGGTAACCAGTTACGCGCTTCCTCGTATAAAGTGAAACAAAACGAATGTTTCCGCGTTCCCACAGAAATACAAAAATTTTAATCTTTCTAAGTGCAAAATTCCAGCAAGACAATGATAGCGACGATATAGACAGTGACATTTCTGTTCCGCAGGAAAACGTTCATATTCCGCCTTCATTAACTGCACCACTAGGAGCTACAGAAATGCCTGAAGTTCAGAGTCCTCGAGTGTTAGTGGAGAAATGGACACACATGAACCTGACACTGAAACATCTCTTAGTCTTACTGACAGTACTAACTCTAGTTTAAGTTATACTAATGAGGGACTGAATTACATTCAGAAAGACCGCAGAGGCTCCGCAAGCAACCTAAATACCTTGATGATTACATTACATAGACACATACATAATTAATAAGTTACCATTTTAATAACTGTTTATATCATTGTTTTTTTAAACGTTTATGGATTTGATTATTAAGAGTGTCTCAATTATTAGACTATATTTCATCACTTAGTTTATCTTAAAAGGATATGTATACGTTAATAAGTTAAATTTCAAAAAGAAAGAAAGGTAGCGCCATAGTGTAGTCAGGTACGGTTTGTCAGCGTACGGTATGGTACGGACATATACAGAACATTATTGTGAAAGAGTTGTTCCCCTTCGTATTACATGTACGCCATTTGTTGCCGATTCTTTAGGCAATATTAATAAACTACAAAACTCATATATTTGTGTGTTTCTATACCGTTAAACCTTACTGGCGGATATTAAAGGAATATTGATAATTTTCAAATGCATCAATTTTTTCACCTTAAACGGTAAAATAATGATAGAAAAATAGAAATATCATGTAACTTTGTTATGTACTTCATTTGGTGTAATTCCCCAGAGCTAAATCCGTAACGTACCGGAAAACGGTGTTTTCGAAAAGGTCAATGGGCGTAGCAAGTAGATTCACTGATATTTGTGTGTTCAGGTGAGTGAGAAAAATAATCAACCATTGGGTTAGATAGAGGATAGGGAAATCCCAACCCTCGGGCAATCGGTTCCATCGGGAACTCGCCAAGGCTCGTTCCCGATGGAACCGATCACCCTCGGGTTGGGATTTCCCTATCCTCTATCTAACCCAATGATAGATTCTATTAGTCTCTGCCAGCATGCTAAGAGTTTATCCACTTTGAGCAATTCACATGAATGCAATAACCGCTAAACTATTTGAGAGGCGCCATGACAAAACCAATGTAATGCGTTTGCGACCAGCATGGATCCAGACCAACCTGCATATCCGTGCAGTCTGATCAGGATCCATTCTGTTCGCGTACAAACCCTATTACAAGTAGAAAAACTGATAGCGAACAGCATGGATCCTGATCAGACTGCCGCGGATGCATGCTGGTCGTAAACGCATTACTTGGCTTTGTGTGAAGTCGGCTCATTATTTTATCTTTAAGTCTGTATGAAGTCAACAGTGATATCCATTGTTTCCGACTATGCTGATGGATCACACCCACCTGTAATAAATGCATAGCTTAAGCAAGACCCAATCTAAACAGGTATGTATTTTTACATAAACTACAGTTTTTTGTCACTTTTTCCAAATTCAATATAGGTGATGTTTGAATGAGTTTTTAGTTTATATATGCATGGTATTCTTACTATCTTACATAAATGACATCATTGAGAATCAAAAATCCAGAATGAGGATTCTTTAATGCTAAAGTGGTGAAGGCCAATTGAATTTACCAATTGCCCCTCACTGGATTGTGGTTTTGATCTTCAAGGACTGTGGACCTTACATAAACGTGGAATCTCATGACAGCTAAGT